GAAGGTTTAAGCTATATTTCTGAAATCCTGGTCCTAAGCCAAGGCCACTCCATTTTCTTAAAAGTGGAGAAGAGTAAATTTACGACACACTAAATGTGGTCTGAAATATAAACAATTTGCATGTTATTTAATGAAGATAATGGTGCTTTACGATCTGTACTACTTCTTCTTGCTAAAAGTTTACACTTTATGTGGGGAAACTAATATCAAATTTTCAGTCAAACCATGGTTTGATGAAGAAAATTAAAAATTATTATACAAAAGGAAGCAGACTAAGCTGCAGTGGTTACAGAATCCAAACCCATGGAAATTATATGAACAATGTAATATATGAAAGTACAACTTTCAGGAGACAAAACTAATCAGCATACAACATTAAAAAAAAATTAAACACCTACAGATATGCATATATAAATTTAACAAGGTTTACCAGCTTAGAACTTCCTTGGTAAAATATAATGGTTATCTGCTTGAAGATTCTCACAGCATTCTCAGCAGGTGTAAAAATTATTTTTGCCAGTTATTAAATGTACATGGGGTTAATGATGTTAGATCAACTAAAATACATACAGCTGAGCCATCAGATCTTTTTACTGTGGTGAGAATTATTGTTGTTCTGGGTTTTCCTGCTGTGTAAATTCAAAGGCAGATGCCAATATTTTGGAGAAACATACTGTCTCCATCTTCAGGGATAAGGAATAAGCAAGAACTCCACAAGAAGTGTAAGAAATCTATTATTGTAACTATTAATAAGAAAAATTGTAAAACTGACTGTAGTAAAAACAAAGAAAACCACCATTCCCAATCACATACAAAATTTGGTCAAACATTCTTCCATCTAGGAAAACTATATATGTAGGCATCATCAATGTGGATTTCAATATACTTCATAAACAACTGATCAGATATTCTGTAATTGTCAGATACTGTAGAAAAGATATGAGTAAAATGTGACAGTATATCAGCTATTAATAGACTTCCAGAAAGTCAATGATTCAATTAGGAGGAAAGCATTATGCTACATTCTCACTGAATACAACACATCATTGAAAATAGTCAGAATATGTAAAATGTGTCTGAATGAATCCTACAGTAAAACTTTATTTATAAACATTCGTATGATGTATTTTATACACAGAACAGGCTTAAGCAAGGAGATGCAATAGGGGGAGATGAGGGAGAAATGTGTATAAAATGTTTGTTTCAAAGACTGAAGGGAAGAGAGCACTCATAAGACCTAGGCATTTATGGGAGGACAATATTAAAAATGGACAGTGACAGTTTTCTGTGGCTTCTCAGGTTGGCCTCCAGTTGCCTGTTCTTTCTTCTGTCCCCCAGATTTCTTTCCTAAATTAATATATAAGGCTTTTAACTCCTTGGATAATTGTTGTCAAACTGATTACTAATCCCTCCGGTCCGGAGATAGGGATTAGCTCTATCTAGTGGGCCCAACTGTGTAGGAACCTGAAGACGGAGATAGAGAGTCCCATCTCCGAAACGTCGTTTTACGTTTTATATCTACTAGACGATGGATAATATCCAAGTAAATTTTAATTCAATTGACTCTTCACCATCGTCAAGAAGTTTAAGCTAATGGCATGCTTAGCTAGTCAATAAATTCCCAACCCATTATCAAACCTGTATGTTGATTACCTTGTTCACAACCAGATGAATCCAATCCATACCCTCCAACCATATTTTCCTAAGATCGACCTAAAGGAAACCATATGAGATACAGAAATAAATGGGAGGAAAACATTAAAATATATAAAAATAGATCTCGGAGAAACACAGTGTGGACTACAGTGGCCCAGGATATGGTCCAATGCAATAGAGAGTCTATGTGAAACAAAATGTAACAAATATTTGGGTTCCATAAAAGCAGGAATTTCTTGACCAGTTGTGAAAGAATAAACTTTTCAAAAATCACAGAAGTGAGAGGTGTTTTCATTTTGGACTAATGGCTTTTAACATTAGACATAAACGCCGATATAATTTCCATATAATGACCACGAAAAATAAACTTCACAGAAGTGTTAGAAATCCCGTCTTCTTGGCCAAATTCACTATGATACTGCCTTGCTCCCAGCATATGGAAGAAACAGAATTCCACAGCACAGCCTGGGCATTCTTACTGTAAAGATATTCAACTGTTCATTATAGTCTGTCAATGATCATATGTTTTTCATGTGCTAAGTTGTCCTCCCATCTATTTTATCCAAACACAAAAATTAATAGCATGTCATGGATCACCTCAAATGGCACTTCACATACCTTTTAGCACTACTGGTTGAGTCTTTCCTTGTGGTCCAGTTACCCCAGGTGGAGAGGTAACAACTGCCTCTGGTGATGGTGGTTCTCTTGCACCAGTCAAACCAGGCGATGGAGTTACTCCTGTTACACCAGCAACATCACATGGAGGTGCACCTGTAGGCCCTCTCCTTCCTGCCTGTGCTTCAGAAGTCTACAGGTGGTTGCACAGCTGCTTCAACCTGCTGTTTGGGTCTAACATTTGCAGCAACAGCAGCATAAGAAAGTTGCATATATGTCACATCTGGTGGTTGTCCTGATCTATGTTCTGCAATATAAATAAACAAATATACTTGTAAAACAAACCAATCCTAAGCAGGGATCCAGAAACATGTTCCACATGTAATAGCACTGACCAGTGATGAATACATTCTTAACCTTGGTCCAAATCTATTAAGAATGTAATAAATAATCATTACATGTGACAAGCAGAAAGCAAATTAAAGATTTAATTGCTTTTGTTCACTGGCTCTAACATTTAATGTTATAAAAATATCTGACTGAAGACTATGAGCAAATGTACTTTGTCAAGTGGCTGGAAGGTTTAAGCTATATTTCTGAAATCCTGGTCCTAAGCCAAGGCCACTCCATTTTCTTAAAAGTGGAGAAGAGTAAATTTACGACACACTAAATGTGGTCTGAAATATAAACAATTTGCATGTTATTTAATGAAGATAATGGTGCTTTACGATCTGTACTACTTCTTCTTGCTAAAAGTTTACACTTTATGTGGGGAAACTAATATCAAATTTTCAGTCAAACCATGGTTTGATGAAGAAAATTAAAAATTATTATACAAAAGGAAGCAGACTAAGCTGCAGTGGTTACAGAATCCAAACCCATGGAAATTATATGAACAATGTAATATATGAAAGTACAACTTTCAGGAGACAAAACTAATCAGCATACAACATTAAAAAAAAATTAAACACCTACAGATATGCATATATAAATTTAACAAGGTTTACCAGCTTAGAACTTCCTTGGTAAAATATAATGGTTATCTGCTTGAAGATTCTCACAGCATTCTCAGCAGGTGTAAAAATTATTTTTGCCAGTTATTAAATGTACATGGGGTTAATGATGTTAGATCAACTAAAATACATACAGCTGAGCCATCAGATCTTTTTACTGTGGTGAGAATTATTGTTGTTCTGGGTTTTCCTGCTGTGTAAATTCAAAGGCAGATGCCAATATTTTGGAGAAACATACTGTCTCCATCTTCAGGGATAAGGAATAAGCAAGAACTCCACAAGAAGTGTAAGAAATCTATTATTGTAACTATTAATAAGAAAAATTGTAAAACTGACTGTAGTAAAAACAAAGAAAACCACCATTCCCAATCACATACAAAATTTGGTCAAACATTCTTCCATCTAGGAAAACTATATATGTAGGCATCATCAATGTGGATTTCAATATACTTCATAAACAACTGATCAGATATTCTGTAATTGTCAGATACTGTAGAAAAGATATGAGTAAAATGTGACAGTATATCAGCTATTAATAGACTTCCAGAAAGTCAATGATTCAATTAGGAGGAAAGCATTATGCTACATTCTCACTGAATACAACACATCATTGAAAATAGTCAGAATATGTAAAATGTGTCTGAATGAATCCTACAGTAAAACTTTATTTATAAACATTCGTATGATGTATTTTATACACAGAACAGGCTTAAGCAAGGAGATGCAATAGGGGGAGATGAGGGAGAAATGTGTATAAAATGTTTGTTTCAAAGACTGAAGGGAAGAGAGCACTCATAAGACCTAGGCATTTATGGGAGGACAATATTAAAAATGGACAGTGACAGTTTTCTGTGGCTTCTCAGGTTGGCCTCCAGTTGCCTGTTCTTTCTTCTGTCCCCCAGATTTCTTTCCTAAATTAATATATAAGGCTTTTAACTCCTTGGATAATTGTTGTCAAACTGATTACTAATCCCTCCGGTCCGGAGATAGGGATTAGCTCTATCTAGTGGGCCCATCTGTGTAGGAACCTGAAGACGGAGATAGAGAGTCCCATCTCCGAAACGTCGTTTTTTACGTTTTATATTTACTAGACGATGGATAATATCCAAAAAAATTCAATAGTTGTATAATGCTGAACCCCATTTCACGTAATATTTATTGAATAATTAACGTTAGTGACATGAAATTTCATAAACACGTATTCTCTATTATACATTAGCATTGGTAACATGGCGTCGTGTGTAGATTTGATGTTGTATATCTTGTAAATTTAAATATGTGAAATGAGATATTGGTTGATATTACACAAAGAAATGGATTATTATTTGTAGTTCTTGATAGTCTGAGCATCTGAATGAAAGTTATCGTCATAAACGTCTTTCAAACTAATATTTTAATATTTTACGTCAAATCACAATTTTTAATAAGATGATAAAATATAAAATATTTATATATATATATATATATACTACCTTATGTCTTTCAAACTCTTAAAAGTCAACATGAAAAGTCATAGAAATTGTAACATAACTCAACGTAATAGTAATGATCATAATTTTTAGGTGCAATTATTTTTATTTTAAAGCTTAAATGTAAATAGCATGTCATTGCTACTGATTCTTTCATTGATGATTAAATACCTGGTAATTAATCGATTAAGTAATGGCTGGAATTCGACAATGATGACCATCTACAAACGACTGTTTATATTTTCAGCTGTCCTCAGAACGAGGCGTCATGGCGAAAGCTGTTTGGCTTTTGTTTCTTGATACGTTGCTCGAGCAATTCTTAGAAGACGTTTACATTCCCGTGGACTGTGAGTTTATAGTGGCTCAACGTAGCGGTGAAAATGCGGTAAGACTTACTGAAGTCTACAGAATGGCCAAGGAATTCCCCCTACATCGTCGCCATTTTGGAATTTGGAGCCAAGATCGATTGCACGTGATTACCGAAAGTTTGCTCCGCCGCAGATCCGATTTTCACGGCTTTACGATCACAGCTACATCTATGAACGTGAGTAACAACCAAACACACAAAATTAAAAGAGGTATTTCAAATTTTATTCTGATACGTAATTTGTAAGGTTAGGGAAACATACACACCTTGCAGTTAAAAAATTAGAAAATTGGGTTAGGTTAGGTTTAAGACTGTGATTTTGAAACAGGGTTGAAATTTCCACATTCACTTTCAAAATAATCATGTCACAGATTATCGTATTTAATCAAAATTGTTTAAGCATAATAATAATAATAATACGTGAAACAAAGATAGTTTTTATCCCAAGGATAAATACGAAGGGACATACACACATGAAGAAAATATATGCCAGATCATTGTGTAAACTAAGAATTTGCGTGTCATAATACATCAAATTTATCGCAGAGTCCGCCACTGGTGATCTTGGACGAGGAGAAAATGAAAATGAGAGGGGGGCTGTTCGGATCCGTCTGGTTCAGTCTCGAGGAGCGCCTAAACTTTACGTGAGTGTCCACCCCCCATTGGTTTTCCACCTTCAAAAGATGTTTACTGAACAGCTGCACCCCCGCTGGGACACAACTAAAAATTTCTTTAATATAGCGAGGTTTCACTTGCCAGGAAGTCACTCCAAGTACCCAACCCAGCAGGAACAAAACTGAGTAAAAACACGTCAACGAGGTGAGATTTCACATTCTCGTGGCGACGAGTATAAATATTGCTCTCTCCCGCATTATTTAAACAGCCGTTGAAATTTAACGGGTAATGACGTATTTCATCTTTATTCCTTCCTTCATCCTTAAAAAATAACCAGCCGGTACTGCGACTGAGCGTAAAAGTGTTACAAGGAACGTGTGTCAGCAGGACGCGGTACGTGGTCCCCAGTTTGAGGTCTTGGGGAACGGTGTACGCGAACAACACGACTACAGGAGTCGTAGGCGTTCTTGCGGACGGTCAGGCTGAGGTCGGCGTCTTCAGCATGCTAATTACGTCACGACGGATGGACGTCATGGATTTCACTACGCCGATACTGAGCCCCAAGTAAGTAATCCATTTAACGGCCTAGTATCAGGAGTTGCCAGCAAACTTAAATGGCTACCCCCTGAACTCTTACGTGATGTTCTGTTTGAGAAACTTCTACATGCCCAGCCCATCTAGGTAACCCGTGTGACACTCGGTACATGTATGGAATAATTTATTTGTACTCTGACTACAAGCCACGGTGGTCCAGCGGACAGAACACTAAAAAAAACCTCTGACAATCTCATTTCCTCTGTATAAAGCACTCGTGCTACACCCTGTATATTCGCGTAGGTTCCACGTGTTCGTCCGCCAGCCTGACGGCCTTCAGTTGGAGTGGGACACGTACCTGGCGCCTTTCAGCGTCAGACTGTGGCTCACCGTCGTCCTCCTGGTCCTGTTAATCGCCCTGCTCCTGCCAAATCTCTATAGCCTCGGACGACGTCACGGGATCGCTGAGGCGACCCAGGTGCCCTTCAAGTTCAAGGACTCTCTGTTCTACGTGTTCGGCGCGTTCTGCCAACAAGGTGAGTGCCTTTTGTGTGTGTGTGTGTGGGTTGGTTTCCTACACGGCAGTTTCGAGTATTATATTGATAAAGCTCGAGACCAGTGAAACCCAATTCCTGTGTCATTATGCTCTCTTCAGGTATGGAGCCAAGCTGTCCGCAGCTGAGCGCTTGTCGAGTGCTGTACCTGACCACGTACTTGACAGCAGTGATCCTCCTGGCCGCCTACTCGGCCACCCTGATCTCCTTCCTCTCTGTGAAAAATGCCGAACTTCCATTCAGTACCCTCGAGGAGCTCCTTAAAGCCGGAACTCACAAGCTCGGATGTCTGGAGCAGTCCACAGTACTCAGCCACTTCATGGTAAGCACCTTGACGGCAATAAACTGACTGAATGACTGACGTGAGAGTCAAACCAAGTACCATACTGACAAACCGTATGAAAAAGGAACCAATTATTTAAAATACTATGTTACGATGTAACTGAGTGGAAAGCAAGGACTAATTATGACGATATTCTAGACGTTGCACCGTGTAGTCTTACAAAACTTAACCGACGTTTCAGAGACGCTTAATGCCTCCGTCATAAACGAGATGATATTTTCACTTGTGAATTCGAGGCACTTAACAATATAATATTAAAACTGGTGTTTGGCGCAGGACGCGAAGCTGCCGTTGTACCAGCAGATATACCAACGGTTCCTGCACCGGATTCACGGTACGCTGGTGCCTGACATCGGGGTCGGCCTCTACCGGGTGTGCAGCTCCAACTACGCGTTCATCGCCTTGTACACGGACGTGATACAACACCCGCCGTCAGAGCGCGGGTGTCGGCTAGCGACCCTCCCCGCAAGCTACTTCCAGTCCAGTCTGTCTTTGGGACTGACCCTCAACTGCCCCTACAAGGCCTTCCTCAACTACCAGTAAGACAGCCTCCAGCTTTTGTAAACCGGGCATTGAAACATGAGTTTGGCTGAACTGGCACTAGACTAGGACAACATTCAGCCATTAACTTACGCTATTTAATAAATGGACTATACCCAGCCACTTAACTGGATCGTCAAATTTGGGCTAATAAGTCATTCAATCTGCTGGTCAGCCAGCACAATAGTCATGCAGTCAGCGAGTCATTCAATTTTTTCTCACACTTATTTCTGTCGATCTGTAGGTGTCTGAGTTACCATACTGATGCCAATTTTAGATCACGGATGGGTCAAGGCCATGTATTGGTCACGACAAAATTAGCCCCAAGTGTTTGCCGAATAGAGGTATTAAAATGTCTCAAGGTCATTTTAATATCATTCACACAATATGTAATTTCCTTAAATTTGCAGTCATTCAATTTGCTAGTCCGTTAGTCATGCAGTCAGCCATTAAGGCTGACATCCTATCAGCAGTTAAATTTGTCATTCCTTTGGTCATGAAGTCAATCATTCACTGAATCTGTGTTTGTCAGTCATTCAATCGGCCAGCCTGTTACTCGTTCCGTCAACTATATGTCATGTCATGCCCACAGCCTTCTGACGCTGTATGACGACGGAGTTCTACACAGACTCAAGGACGGCCTGTTCGCGTCCCTGAACCTGCAGGAGGCTGAGCACAGGGCGATGGTGGGAGGCTGGCTCAGCGTGGAGATGCAGCATCTGCTGCCTATCCTCATGGCGCTGGGGACCGGCATGGTGCTTGGCGCCACCTGCCTCCTGCTGGAGCTCGGGTCAGGGCGCCGGAGTGTCGGCAAGTGGACTGTCTGACAGCTGCGATCAGCGTCATACAAAGAGGACTGGAATAAACTATGATGACGAGATAAACAGACGCAGAAGAAGTGATGCTACCAGCCGGAAGGCAGAACAGGGTTTGGCCGATCACTTCACTGTCCCACGTGACTCGAGACTACATTGCTTCAATGTTTATTTACCGACAATGCATCAAACACGGAGAATGATACAGGGTAGTATGTAGCACGACTAGAAAAATTGCAAAATGCCTGCAGAATTTTGGTCGAGGAACCAATAAATGTTTTCTTACGCACGTTTTGCTTTCTATATTTGGGATGTTTCACTTTAATTTATTTTGCGTTCTCTTCGTCAATAATTATGTCGCTTATTCAGTTTCTTGTAAATTAATTCTTTCAACCACATCATGAATCCCACTGCCGTAAGACGTCATAAACGTCGATCTTAACAACGAGCATGTACGAGCCATTCTTCTGGGGTTTTACTACCGAGGGGGGGGCGTTGAGGTCAAGATCCATTCATTTTAGACTTTGGAACTGCGTGGAAGAAAGGACTTGAAGATATCCGCTGAGAGACAGCCATATCCGGTCTTGATTGGAGGGGGGATAAAGTACCCGCCCTTCCGGGGGTTTCGAACTCCGATCGTCCAGCCCCATGGCCAGAGCGATTCAGATGGGTAGAACATGCAGACAGGTAAAGAAGTATCACACCCATTCCTATTTATAATTCAGAATTATCTCGCCGTGTAACAAATGCATATAAAGAAGTGTTATTAAAAAGTAAAGCCATAAACAAATAGTGAGGTTGATGAAAACAAGACAGCATCCCAGAGCCATTTATATTTACAGGACTCATCTTTACAAATACTTTATATTAATATTAATTTTATATTTAGTAATGACAAATATTATTTATAAAATTCTCCCTTCCTAAATGCAATAATAAAACACTTTCCTATTAGATTTTACAGCAATATTATTGCACAGTACACGATAAGTCATTTGTTAATAAACCCAAACCCTGAGAAACTCGCACTGTTCAGGATTAAAACTCCAGTGCCTCCTGCAACTGGCAATAAAAGAGGAGAATGATAACCCACGATCGTAACGACACATGAAAACAATCTGAACAAACGTTACGCTGTAATCATCAGTGTTACAGCGACTAAAGACAGGCAGACGTGAAAAATGCACAGAATTTTACTTGTTAAAACAGTCGCAGATAATTCGTTTAGAAAATATCTTAATTTTAAACTGAACTAAAGAAGAACACTAAGCTCTCTAACATTTAACAAGGAATATCATTCCAACTTTATTTTGTCTCGACATTGCGCGTGTCCGAACGATCGCCGTCTTATGATTCTCCTGTAGGTTCATTGGCACAAAATGAGTATTGCCTAAAACATTCTGATAAATAATCAGATGTTTTTCATACCAAAAACTTTATGCCTATAACTGTAAGTACAAATATTACAATAGAATAAAATATAAAAATAACAAATATACATTAATATCCTCTAACGTACAAATTGATGATACAGATCACCAAACTTTCATCGAAACCAATGGAAATGTATAGCAGTTTCTTTTTCGGGAATGAACTTAAATGTGTCAAAATAAACGAACCTTTTCTTGGCAAATACCTCAGAGTGTCCATCCTGCGAGACGAAGAAATTAATTTTCATACGACATCCACCCGTCCGTTCCCGCCATGCCCAGTAATGGATTAATGATGAAAGTGACGGTGCCACACACGGACAGACGGATAAAGTACAAGCTGCGTCACATGGACAATAAATGTTAATTGCAATAAATACTATGTAATAAGGGCTGCCAACAGTTAAAATGCCTATAAACACATATCCTTCATAAATTATAAGAGACGTATTTCTCCAATTTCTAAAAATACAATAATTTCAAGTCTAGTGTAATAAGGGAATGCAATTCAATATACAAATTTCCAAAATAAGAGAACACAAGGGGGGCATCGTAACTTATACCAGTGACCGAACATTTTTGAGATTATGCACGGAATCTTGTAAACAAGATGAACAGCTACCAATTGCCTGGTAACAAAAAACGTATACTGTAATCAATCAACGGTTGGCAACTCCGTACACAACACACAATTTAAGAATCCTGTTGATTTCTGGTGCACTCAAACACCCGAACGTGGCGACGTGGAAGACGGAAGGCGCCGCACTCTCATTCCACTCACGCTGACACTCGCATGTTCTTTAAAACTTAAGTGATAGTCCGTTGTCCTAGCTAACAGTTTGAGCAACATTCTGGAGCAAGACAGCCCCAGGGGTGAACACAATGGGTCGGTAACCCTTGTTATTTCGGGCGAATGGCTGAAGAGTTGAGAGGCTGGGTCGGCTCAGTGGCAACGCCTGCAACAATTACCACATGACGCCAAATGATGATCACGGTTGCACATTTCTCGTGGTTATGTTTTGTTTATAGGTAATTTAGAAGTATCTCGACAATTATATCAGAAGTACTTTATATTCATTTCAGTAACTACAAGAAGCTTAAGTCCTTCTTGAGAAGCAAATAATAACTCAGTCGAGAAATTCCATGCCATTATCGGAACGCAAATGTTCACTGCCACATCTACAAGAGCCCGCTATGGGTCTCTACCCTGAGCATCATGAATCCAGTTCACATCCTCCCAACCTGTTACTCTAAATTCATTTTAATAATATCTTCCAAACTATGCCCTGGTCTTCTTGTTTTTATAGCTACCCCAGAATATGTACACAGACACAAGCATGCACGCCCTTCTTTCAAGAAAAAAGTCAAATACTTTAATGCGGTAAGGACCATATTGTGAATTTCAGCTCCAAATATTTTTCTACCTGTACTGGCTGAGGTTGAGCCGTTCTGCCATCTTCGCATGATATTTCATCAGTTCCAGCAATCTCTTCCAGACTCGAATGAGTGCTCTGGCCACCGGAAACAGGACTAGCCAATCTGTGGGGAAACATCACTCTTCAAGAAAGGAGTTCAAACCGGTAGGTTCCGATCATCAAGTAAAATCATCATAATCAAAGAAGTTACATTAATTTATTTAATTCACTAACAGTCGACCCTTGTACTGAGGGGAAAACCCACAATAAGAAAAGTCACATTCTTTCTCACTTCTCACTTACACGGGTCTTTTCAAGGGAGTTAAACAAAGTGTTAAAAGTCTTGGAAACGTCCCGTTCATTTACATGCCCCTCGAAAGGTGTCAAAGCAATCAATACATTTCAAAGTGAAAGAATTTTAATTTTAGCTCTCGCAGAAAATGTCTTCACCACTCACATATCTTTGAATTTCTTTCATGCACACAAATAGAACAGCCATCTATACCACAACTTGCAGCGGAACGCTCGCCAAAACTGGTTCTGTGGAAGCAAGAGACGTTTTTGAGCCCAGTGAAAAGGCTTGTGTACACAGACACTTACGAAGACGACTCTTTTGGGATTTGCACAGCGCAACATCCCAAAAGACGGTCATCTTCATACTCACTGCCATTAGAACCTGCAATCTCACCTCAGAACTTGTAAATGTTCATAACATTTGCAAAAAGAGTGCAGATATATTTTACAAATGCTTCTCTGTTATTCTGCAAATCACAGCAGACCTGATGTTATTTATTGGAAATAAAAATCTACTGTTGCAAAAGTTATTCACATTACAGATTTCACACTGCCATGACCTCCCTTAATGCATTCCTTTAATGAAATTTGTACAAAGACGCATACAGATTAATATATAAGCCTCGCCACTTATGACCGAGATGGGTTGCATTACTCATGCACAGAAAACAATATTTCACATCATTGAACAAACCTGTGTATGTCGCAAGCCCATGTGTTGATGTTAATATTGTGATGACTAGATTAGGTTAGGCAGCTTCTGACACCACTGTTATACCCTGTGACAATACAAGGTTAGGTTATTTGGCCTGCGTATGTACAAATGAGGTTATGTTCACACCAACAAATTGTAAAACAAAAACAAAAAAGAACATATGCTGTTACGTAATGAACCACTGATAAAACCATGCAGTATTTAACGGAAAATATTAATGCTCTAACAAGACGGTTCTACGAAAACAGAGCATCCGCATTTAACATTTACGTCAGCAAATCATTTTCACATAAACAATATCAATGCCTATTAAACATTCTAATGTATAAACGTTGCGCCATCATTTTTATGAATGTCAAGGGAAAAAGTAAAACTGAATAATTCGTGTCACTAAAAACTCCATCATGCAGGATAATTCTTAAAAGTTTATACCCACTCACTTTGAAATTCTCCACTTTTAAGAAACCTAAAGGTTCATCACAATGTTCACAAAACCTGACAATTATCAGCCCTAACTGATGCTAGCAGAGATTCCATGCACAGTGTTTTTTTTAAAGGCAGGGGGCCAGTTCTTAATTATTATTTTAAAAGACTTCATCTTATATTCTCAAACACGATAGGCATACAGAGCTCAACTTTACCATTTTGTATTTATAAAATATAAATTCCTCTATAATGTGGCTGGTCAATTCTCAGTCCTCTTGGGCAACAAATGTAATATAAAGAATGTAAATGGATGTGTCGATGTTAACCAACGTTTCAGAGGTCATACTGCCTCCGTCATCAGGGCGATGACGGAGGCAGTATGGCCTCTGAAACGTTGGTTAACATCGATCAGACTACACAGCGCAAAACCCAGAAGACAGAAATCTTCATACTCACCGCTGTGAAAACCAAAAATTTTACATATATACATTATGGCTTACATTACTTCATATACAGTACAAGTACATGTGAAAAACAGGATCTTATCTTTCAAACATAAAATGCAAAAATTCGTTAAGTGAACACATGTGAAATGAAGCATTAGTGCGTGAATGAAGAATGTTCAACACACCTCAGGCACCTCTTACTTCATACCTGCTAAGATGCTGGTGTCGAGACGCTGGCCTCGCGGCAGGCTGGGAGAGCTCCGAGTCGGAACTAGCCAGGGAACGTCCCGGTCGAGCGCCGTGGGCAAAGTCCCTGCGGTAGTTGTCAGATGAGGAGGAGCAAGGAGTAGACACCTCTGTGTCGCCATGGTGATGAGGTGCCACGTACACCTGCGTGCTCTTTGGCATGTCATACACCACCTCTGGGTGATGCACAGTGTTGCGCTTTGAGTCTACATGTGGCATGAACAACTCAGACCCCGAGTCAACATACCTGACAGTCAAAAATGTCAGTTTTACCACACCAAACTATACATATTTCAAGTGGCATGACGATAAACATTTAACCAGCAGAATAATATGCTTCATAGTTTAGAGCAGTTACTTCCATAAGCTTTAAATGGCTTTTCTCAGTCTCTGCAGAAATATAATGGGGAAGAACTTTAAAGAACATCAATAACTTCCTTCCTACACCCATTAAAAATTTATCAATCATTATAATCCTTTTATTCAACACATAACTGCCATCAAACAAAGAAGTAATGATTCAGAACACAACCATTTTATGAAGACGCTGCTCCAAACCCACCTGCACTGCCGATAATCCCTGTATTCTCTGCTAGGCTGATGGAACTCTGAGAGCACCTGCGTGGAAGCAGCCTGTCTTGATGCCTTGCCTGCTCTTGAAGGTCCAGATGATGCCCCAGATGCTGGTGACGGCGTTGATGAAGGAGCTCCATCCGGATCGACTCTCATATCCCCCCAACCCGCTGGCAGTGAAGAGTACATGTTCTCATCCAGGCTAAAGAGGCGGAGTTGCTGGCGGATACTGGCTTTTTCACGTGCTCTCTTCCTCTGGAATTCTTCTTCCACTCTGCGCATTGCCTCTAACTCTCCCAAACGTTGTCTCTCCTTAAGTTCAGCCTCCCTGGAAAGCTTCTCGGCCAGTCTACGGCGCTCGATTTGTCTCACTGTGCTCTGGAAAGTGAAACGCTTGCCCTTGCTTTTCTTGTCGGGCAGAGGCGCTGTTGGCGGTACCTCCACTTCGTTATTTCGGTCAGGAGAAGGAGTCCGACCAAGCTGTCGCATCTCTGAAGCTGCAGATATATTGTCACATGACTTTGACAGTGGAACTGTCATCCTGAGGTTCCTAGCAGTCACACCCGCACTGTACGACCTCCCTCTGCCAAATGACATCAGCTCTTCAGGAGCAGTCTGGCACTGGCTTTCATACTCAGGAAGGTACATGACATGGCCTCCTGATGCAAGGTATGAGAAAGAGGGCCGAACGTCCTGGTCAGGAGATGAAGGGCTGCTAGTACGACCCCCCCAAGTGGTTTCTAGATGCAGAGAGTTGGGGACACTGCGGCTTAGAAGCCAGTTTTCATCAAGAGGCTCTCCCCTTGTGGGGCTCTCTGCAGTGATGCCACCCAGTGCTGACCCAAGGACTCCAGATACTGAGTGACGCAGCTTCTGAAGGCTGTTGAAGGAGGGTTGGACATCCCGCTGATCTCGCAGCTGAAAATTTAGCAACAGAACAGGAACAATACACTTAATCCAAAATAAGAGGTGCATTATATGTCTGTGAAAAATGTATGAAGAAATCCACCAATCATTATGAAATTCATTATGATGTCATATCACTGAAGGTTTCGAAGATACAGTATCCCAGAAACACCACAGCTTCCTTTAATTTCAAAACTGCCTGACTCCATCTTACATCGTACTGGAATGTCAGACAGAAGGAAGGTCCCTGTACATAAACACGCAAGAAACCGAGAGGGAACACTCAAGTTTAATTTATAATGTGATCAGTGAATGTCAACAAGTCAGGTATTGAACTGGAAACAATTTCCATGACTGTCAGGATGATGTCGGTGCTGGTCTTCAGCCATGTGGACTTTTGGATTGACACACTGCCTTCATCTTCAGAGCTTCAGCATGTTCCTCTAAAATGGTGGTATCTACCTACAAGTTCACACATTGCTACAACGCAGAATACCAACGCTGACATCATCACTGCTTTGAGAACCTCAAATTTTAATAATGGATTGAGTTCGAGGGAGGACATAAAATGGCGAAATAAAGATTAAATAAACACTAACACACCCCCTGATTACCTTGGGAGAAATAACATCAACACCATCAGCATACAGTGACAAACAGAGCCTGTCATCTCGGGGCAGAGACAGGGAGAAAACATGAGACCGTGGGGAGAACTTGGGTTGCACAACACCAGAGCTAGTGGCAGGGGGCACCTCCACCCCCCCATCGGAACTGGATTCATCTTCTTCCTCCAGGTCCTGCTGTGGAGTCCAAGCCATCACGAGGGGCCGTGCGGGCCCGGCCTGGGGCACTGGCTTCCTGCCTAATGGTACAGGTGCTTCAGAGGAGTCCTCATGGATGCCACCCGGACTTGCATCCCCAGAAATACCGGAGTCTCCGGACTTGTCGTGGCTACTTCGTGGAGCCTGCTGCTGCAAAACCTTAAATGTTAAAAGCAAACTTCACCCCTGTGTACAAACACACAGATATGAAGGCACACACATGCTTGGAGGGAAGAGTCAATGACTGCTCCATCCACACTGCCCTTTATATCAAAATGATTTGGTTGCCAACTCATAATACGTGCTTTTGTTCATATGTGGATGCTTTTTACTAACTTTTATTAGTGTATTACTGAATTAAACGCTTTATGCAATACTTACTTCGTCATTTCTTCACCCATGCATTGTTCATTTCTCCTCTTACTCTTACCTGCTGTGGGGGCAATGGAGCTACTGGGCGGGACAGCCTCTGAATACGCTCCTCCAACAAGATGGATCCTTCCTCTGTGTGGGCTGGCGATGCAGTGCCAAGCTGGTTGGCATCCAGTGCAGACAGCAGACGCCAAGCAGCCGTCGGGGAGAATCTGGGTATCTCGAGCTGTTTCTTTGGCAGTGTCGGCCTCAGCTGTAGCGCAATACCGCTGCTGGGCTCCTCTTCGGGCTCTTCGCTGGATAAACTGCAGGGCACAGGCGGCACCCGCAAGCTCGCCGCAAACCGGTCCACTGCCTCGTGCTCACCCTGCTCCATGCCGAAGTAAAATGTCTTAACGGGCACACCATGGCACCTTTCTTGCTGTGAGGTGGCCACTGGCGGAATGCTGAAAAATGGGTGCAATGAGAAATCTGTTCATCACTCACATGGAAAACAACTGACTGGTCATGAAACATTTTCTAGCAGAAAACAATTTAAGTTCGAGATTGGGGTTTGTTCCCTTGTAGGTTATCCAGCAATAATTTTAATTACTGCACATGTTATTTGTAGAAACATCCTGGGATTCGTCGGTTATTTTATGACATATCAATCGATTACAAAGGTTGTTCGCAAAATGCTAGACTATCAAGTGGATGCCTATTTAACAAAGAACTTTATCAAATACACAGGCCATTTGCAGAAAGAACCACTTGTCTTCTTGGGCAAATGGTTATTTAATGAAACTCGTCAATTTCGGAGCTTATTTGGCGCTGAATGAAATGAAAAGATGACAAATTTAATGAAACTCGTCAATTTCGGAGCCTATTTGGCACTGAATGAAATGAAAAGATGACAGTGAATGACAAATGTGTTGGAGTCGCAGCAATAACGCACTGTTTCAATATACTTACCGCAGCAGTTACATGTAGTGACTGAAGAAACTCATGAAGAATAGTAGTCAGGATACCCAGTGTACTGCCTCAGAGTCCACAAATGGCATGAAGAATAGTAGTCAGGATACCCAGCGTACTGCCTCAGAGTCCACAAATCAGTATGGGAGGTAAAACATGCAAATACGCAGATAACAGCCTCTCAATATGCACACAGAGGGCACATTAACACACACAGCTAAGATATATATTTATTCCTTTGCTTCGCAAACTGTTTACAGGGAAAATGTTGTCCATTCCTAAGTACTCACATTTCCCAGTGTGCTCTATGGTTCTTCCTAGGTTCCTGTTTTTTGCGGGGTGGCAACCGAGGGGCAGCGTCCGCATTCCGACGCGGCAGGGGTGGCTCTGGCCGTATGAGGGACTCTCTGCTTGAGCATTCTCCTCTCACAGCAGCCTCTCCAACAGGTGCTTCCCGTAACGCTACCGCAGGTGGCCCTGAACGCAGCCTCCGTGTAGCTTGAAGCAATTCTGCCTGAATTTCACAGATGGTAAAAATATATGCGACGAAACTTGTCAGAATATTCCCTCAAGGTAGCAGTAAAGGAACCTGGAAAGATCAGGCACTTACCTGAAACTCAGGGGATGACAGGCTCCGCTGGATAGATGGAGGCAGCGATAGTGGCGAGGCAGCGGTGCTACCAACATGCTCTTGTTCAAGCATACGTCTATTAGCAGCATTGGCAGTCTTCTTTGTCTCAGCACGAGTCTTGAATAGTCTGGCACGCCTGGCAGGTGGATCAAGCGTGTCCCAATGGCATGAATCTGGTGAGGAGCTGTCTGGACCATGTGACTCTGGAGGTGGTGCCGGAGCCTTGTACTTCTTCCGGGACCTATCGCCAAGGGATGGCTTGTTAGTAAGAGACTGCAGAAGTAATAACGATTACCTTGAAACAGGTCATAAACGATTGCGTCCAAAACTTCAAAATCACTGATGACTCATGAAAAATACGGCCTCAGCTTATTCCATATGAAATAACCCCAACTAATAACACAGGATAATTCGTGTGCTTCAGTTGACATTACATAACCTCAACAGTTCACAGAGTATCGTTATCACAAACTCATTAGTGTGCCACATCAATCTATCTCACATCTTCAGAAACCAAAATCCACTCATTGCCCTGATCATGGAGGCAGCAAGGACCTCTAAATCGAAGGTATATTTCTACCGGTCTACACAACGCTACAGCCCAGAAGACACCCATCTTAGAAGCCATTACAGAATTTACTTTCAGATGAGATATCTCTAAAAACTCCCTACAACGTGCTGCCATCTATGAACGGTACCTGGAGATACGCTGCTTGGCGGGACTGTCGATATGGTTCGAGTGCGGGAACCTCAAGTCTGGTTCGCTCCCAAATCGTTTTCCCAGTATATCGCCGTTCCCGTTGGGATGTGACTGGCGAGGGTGCTGATGCGTAGACGTGCTACGCGTCCGGTACACACGTCCCGCGCCATCTTGTGTACTCTGTAACAACAACATGGCCGCGTTCACAAATCTGAATCCCCGAACAACCCTCGAGACAATATGCTGATCTGTAGAGACAACAAAATCGAGTGACAGTGCCGACTTCGCCTCGGTTAAACTTGAATTTCCCCACCAAATCTTCCCTCTGGCTTTCATTGCTGTTTATGTGAACCAAATACGAGTGCCAAAACTGCACCAAAGGCTACAGACCTCTTTCGCGGATATAAAACCTGTCAAATGCCATGCCAAGTGTCTCACTCCCGTGCACACGACTAAAAGAAATGGGAAGACGTCTTACATATATTACTTTCACGTTTATCTGAAACACGTTCGGCTCCAAAGGTGCAGTTTATATTTGAATGTCAATTGCACTTGGACTATTACGGAGTGACGAGATGACCTACATTGAACACTAATAGTAAACAGAAAGACACAGATCTTGAATGTCTCTGGCACAAATAAGTAAATACATGCCAAGACATTTATTTCGTAATTAAACAATCCACATCGTCTACCCTTCAACTGACGTTCAATGAGTGTCATATTCGAGATCCATTGGGCCTCAGCAAAAGCATTTCCATTGATAAGTTGCTCAGCAGTCCAACAATTTCACCTCACCCAGTGACTTGACCCTCCCCTGAACCATATGAGTTTTGTTTACACAAAAACACGCTGTTTCCTAAGATCCATTTTAATATTATCCTCACAGTTATACCTTTTTGTGAGTGGTGAATATCTCTACGGAGCCGTTAATATTCCTGTTTCTTACAAGAGATGTATCAGGAGTTGTGCTTGAAAGATCATATGTTACAGGACAATATTATGTGGGTGCCCGAATTTATAACTTGTGTTGGGCAAGGCCGTGGTCTAGGCAACACGGAGTTTTCCTCCGTGGCATCCCAACAATTACTCCATTCACACACAGAAGAAGGCAATGGCAAACCACTTCTGGACCATCTGCCAAGAACGTATATGAACAGGTCCCAGTCCGAGAAAAGGATGGAAGGATCCTGTTCATATGGACCTGTCGTCACACAGAACACTAAAATAAATAAAACAAAATGGCACGTGGCAGCCACACTCGCCTTCGGATAGCACAGAACCAGTGCGTACCTGACCATGTTTGCTGAAGGTTTCTCCGAGAGAAATGGTTTGACGCCGACCGCTGATTGTGCCACCGTTCTGGAGGATGGCTCCATTGTCAGTGACCCGGAGCCGTTGGCCCGGAATACGCTCCGGGAGGACCTTATTCTGGGGCGCCTTCACGCTCCGGACGGCCCGAGAGTCTCGCGGGTAAGAGTTGGTCCAGGACTGTTGGTTCTCAGCGCGCCTGTGAAGAGCCTGCGAGGTGGAATTGCCCATTCTACTGTCAGCCGGTCCAAGCCCCTCATACCTACGGAAACAAGGCACACAGATGTGTAATCTGCCCGATAACCGATGATTAAGGCAGCAAGCACCTCTGAAACGATAGTAAACTTCTACCAGAAAATGCGTCACAATTGATCCTTTCCGAGGTCAGTGGTACGAAAAATATTAATAACCACATCTGATACTTGGCGATTCAATCTTACGAATGCAATTCACGGCCGGACGAGCACAGCAGAGCTCAATACGGATTCTAGGATCTCATTCGAGTTGTCACAGAAAAGAATTGAAGCCACGATAAATCTCAGAAACAAAACAAGTGCCAAGCGAGAAGCGACGATTCAACTCAACGCTCTCGAAACCTACATAAAAACAGTGCAATGAGGGCAATTTTCAGATTTTGCTTAGCAATAAACTGCCCTACTCGAGCTGCAGAATAAGGATCTCGTGACGAGGGTTAGACAACACAAAATCTGTTTTTATTGTGATCGACTGTGTAAAATTAAGGTGGGTGAAATAGACGGGGGCATTCAGAAAATTCGAGATTTCACGTTTTACTCCAAAGACATGGGGAACTTTGGACAACAAAATGGAAAACTGCTTCTGTGTGCAGACACGTAAGAAACTAACTCTGGGATTTGTAAGCAAGGCCTGTCATACTTCCCACATTTGTTAGTTATCCAGCTTGTAAAATTCCTGCAGGGATAACTGAATGCATTCCATTGTTTACCGGCTTTGTGCTCCTTCAAAAAAGAAAGCTCTCGCTTAATTATTCTGAGTGGTTTCGCTACGTGCGTAAAAACAGCTTACCTAAACCTGTATATCCCCTGCAGGCATCGGTTTTAGTTAGGACTCACGTATCGGATAAACTTCTGATCAAAACAAGTTCGTTTTATGACACACAACAATACCCAATTCAAGATTACACAATCGTTTCCATCATAATTTTTTCACCAAAAATTCCGTCATGACTTTACGCGTATTCACTGTGTCTTACAAACAACTTCCATTTTTAAAACGTCTTAAAAACTCAGCGAGACATAGGAAGACAATTAACATTTTCATCGACGTTATTAAACAGTAGGTTTAGATATCTTTTTAGCAACATATTTCCAATATGTTGGCTCATAAGTGCTCACCGCATTCCTAATACCAGAATGCGGATTAAGGAAACAAGAAACACTAGCGGTATTCCTCGCCACATGTGAAAGAGTTCAATTTCACTCGTTTCCTCACACGGGCCCGCCATTGTACTGAGAACAATGCGTGTAGAAAGTACACAGATAAGAGATGCAAACAAATGAACGCCGTCTCGCCGATCGCGTGACCTACTTCACATATCGGTCTCTTTCATTAACAACGACCAAAGATCATAGCCTTACGTCTGCGCGTGCGTTTGAAAAAGAGGCTTCATTTAAGAACAACTGCTTCACGCTTGTAAATAAACTACGATGTTTGGAGAGAACACTCTTCGAAGCTGACGTACACAGTGACACAAATGCTTTCAGATCGAAAAGAAAGGAATTACAAGCCTGAATAGGTCTTTAGGTAATATGAATATCAGAAAATTGTGTAATAACTATTTAGTATACCTGTGTTTAATTTATAACCTACGAGAGGTGATAACAAAAAATGGCGGATGAGGAAAGTCGTGAAGTGGACGCTGGGGTTTCTGCTATCTGGTGGCGAAAGTGGGAACTATCGAACAAGGCGCAAAGAACGTATGGGGCATATTACGTGTATTCCGGTACGGAACAAACTTTCCGAGCTAGTTTTATTTATTCAGGAGTCAACCATATTGTATTAGCAACTAAACAAACTGTTACGTCATTAAACATAATTAAATAAAATAACACATACGATAATGAACGGAGTTTACATAATTTCCGAGCTCTGTGAAAACTACTTCCGCATTTTATGAATATTATTTCCTCCTTCGTGTCTGAGAATCTCTTTAAACATAATTGTAAAAGAAAGTGAAGTGCGTACATTTGGGGAGAGCGTTTTATAAGGGAGCACGTAACTACTTTAGTCTAAGGTACATCGCAGTGCTGGGAACAATACAGCCTTCATGAAGAATCTTCAGCAAGAACTGCGTGTCTCGACCAAGATTACGTATACAGGAAAGAGAACATTGAACTGTAGAATGCACCACGCCCCACGCGGAAAAAATTGTAACCTATGGCATTAAACATGGTGTCCGTAAGGTATTCTTGTATATACCAGTGGCTCGATTAAAACGTGAAAAAAAATGTTCTCGAATGTCAATCAAATTAATAAAGACAGAAAATATTCATTTTTAATCCTTTACTTGGTAAAATGTTCAGCAAATATTTTGTTGTTTATTATCATAGCAACCTATAAATATGTTTCACGCTTAAAATGATTACCTTGAAGTGTCAAAAGGTGGCAGGACAGATCTATTTTCCCTCATATTGTCACAGACGAAGACTCACAGAGGAAAGAATATACAGTTTCAACTACATAGCATGGAAAGTCTAAAAGTAATTTCTTTCTAAATGTCTATCGTACCATTAGTTAATAAATTATATATTCGATAGATCGATAAATCGGTCATTGGTCAGATGGAGCCACGTGCTGCCATCTACTTCTATTAAGACTTCCGCCGAGCCGACGGCGAAACTACCCCCCCCCCTTTTACCCCGAGAAAATTTTTAATCAAATATGAGGCTTATAATTGATACCAAAAATAACAATAAAATACTCTTCCCGTCATCATCAACATCTTGTTCTTAACCTATTTTCTTATTTTGACTTTCGTCTGCTTTATTTTGTTGAAACACTCGTAACATCATTAAAAACCATCATAAATGTCAAGACAGATGAGACTTGTTACATCGTCTTGGAAACCTGGCAACTGTAAATGAGGGCAGAACAAAACAAGCTTCAACAATCTTTCGTTTACGCAACTGTGACGTATGTAACCCCCTCTCTCTCTCTCTCTTTGCATTCCTGACAGAGAATGGCACTCCTTTTGGCAAAGGAGATAAAACAATGGCCTTCGGATGCCCTTCGAAAACCTCCTTTCGTCACGGCCCCTTAAATCATTGCAACTGGCGCTGCGAGCACTATCGATTACATTTAGTCGATTCCCTGAATACGTAGCGATTGTTTCCTTAAACATTAACGGACTGATTCTGGTAACCGAGATATGAATCTGAAACATGGAGGGAAAAATATTGCGTTCATGACCAGATGATGTGACGTAAAGCCTATGAGGACGCTGAATGTCTCTGGATAATAATGTTTCGGTAGCAAGGAAAATGGCCACGGTGGTCTAGCGGTTAGAACGCTGGCCTTGTAATCCTGGGGTCTCGGGTTCGATTCCCGGCGGTGCCCGAATTTATAACTTGTGTTGGGCAAGGCCGTGGTCTAGGCAACACGGAGTTTTCCTCCGTGGCATCCCAACAATTACTCCATTCACACACAGAAGAAGGCAATGGCAAACCACTTCTGGATCATCTGCCAAGAACGTATATGAACAGGTCCCAGTCCGAGAAGAGAAAAGGATGGAAGGGTCCTGTTCATATGGACCTGTCGTCAGACAGAACACTAAATAAATAAATAAATAGCAAGGAAAACCTCCAAAATGTATCCATTTTGATACAACATTCAACATACCTGAAAAGTGAGAAAATCTGCCTTCTTCAGTGCGTTCCAATATCAATAATCAGGACGCGGGCTCAGAGTCCAAACTTGGCATCGCTCTGACCTGAAACAGAAGACAATCGGTAAGGTTCCATAATGCAACAGTACACAGAATAGCTCTGAAATGTCACCGCCAAGCTTGGAAAACTGCAGAATTTTCCATTTTCCTCTAACTGCAAACATTAATTTACTCACAACGTATTTACCTGTGTATTTCTTTAATCAGGTATTTATAAAACCACATCTCCGTGGAGCAGTGTGTTCTAGAAGCTGACAGTTGTTCAGTCACCAATCGCTTTTTTTTAAAACGTTCATTACCGTGTTAACAACAGCCAGCCACCACTCCCGATGAAATCACTTTCCACACTCAAACACTCGTTCTTAATTTATTTATTTTTTACTAAGTTTCGTCTTCACACGCGTCCGCCTTTCATTCGTTCTTAATCAAGACCAGGTCACTTCCTTTCAAATCCTTTCCCGTTCATCATCCATCCTCCTTACCGACGCTACAAGCTGGCTTAACCAATACAGACGGAAAAACGATGTTAAATAAACACTTTTCAGAACTCAACTTTCTTGTAACTTCCTGATGTGCCAAATCTCTGAGCTAGGGGTTTCAACCTGAGGCCCGCGGATATATAATTCGTGCTGTTTACGTTTCTCGTGCGTGAACAAATCCCTCGTTCTTCCTTCGGGAACAGGGTCCAGTGTTTTAGCACCGCGAGGAATCAAACACTAACACACTAATGAGCAGAAGATGAGGCAGACGGAAGTTAAAACAATGCTTTTACCAATATGGCCGTGTTGCGTCACTTCTCATTACGTATAATTGTTTTGTGTTTCCTCTCTGTTATCATTCTGGCCACATATCATCAGAATATTATTACCAGCCACCCTGTTGAGCGGATAACAGTCCTAAGTCACATCAAAACTGCGACGTATTAACCCTTTGAAAAGACAATCAAAACAATATTAACAATTCAGTTCCTACCTCAAAGAAAACGCTACACGTGTCCGTGAAAACGATAAGTTGGTAAATTCTATTCAGGAAGATAATCGCTGTTTATTCTGAGAATAATACGAAATAAAATGCAGTTACCGAACGTTAAACAGACGGAACACAGTCTTTAAAAGGTCACGAAAGTGCACTCAGAAAGATTAAGTAAATCACAGAGTCAGACAGCAGACATTGTCTGACGACATGTCCATATGAACAGGATCCTTCCATCTTTTTCTCGGACTGGGACCTGTTCATATACTTTCTTGGCAGATGATCCAGAAGTGGTTTGCCATTGCCTTCTTCTGTGTGTGTGAATGGAGTAATTGTTGGGATGCCACGGAGGAAAACTCCGTGTTGCCTAGACCACGGCCTTGCCCAACACAAGTTATAAATTCGGGCACCGCCGGGAATCGACCCCGAGACCCCCAGGATTACAAGGCCAGCGTTCTAACCGCTAGTCCACCGTGGCTTATATCCATCTGTTATCGAATACTAATGCTGATCCCCCATCCAAGGATCGAATCCTCGTCTGGCTAAGACTCAGGCCTACAGAGGAAAAACACGTGCTTAGACTCACACAAGGTCAATTGCAGAAAGCGGCAGCTTTGATTAAAATGCCCTAATTGTCGTGGCCTACTGTTACGTCACTTGATTCGATTCAGGTCGTAGAAGTGATTGCCAAAATGGCCGCACGTCCATTTGGCAGCAGGGTCCACAACAGTGGCTTATAACACTAGTGAAAGTGTTCCATGCTGCCGTGTTGTAATGTCTGATTATTATTCTGGGCGTAATATTACACGGCAAAGACGGGTATCAATTGTTTCCATGGAGATTTCACCTACTGTCGGCATCCTTCGTGTTGACCGCAACAGCGGCGTAAGTCCTGAAGTTGCGGTGTCCATGGGAAGACACATACTTTGACCCAAAGTCTCGTGGGGAGACAGCTGAGTCGAGCTGTAGTAACTGCTTATAATATAGACGGATGGAATGACATTTACCATTACTTTTCATTCTTGACATCATCGTCAGTTTCTGGCTTAGTTCCCAGGTACTAAAAATTCTGTGCGTGGCCCCCTCTGAAGGCAACATTTCACGAGTTTCAGTGGCGGATCTGGCATGTCCTGAGCTGAGTAACTGTCCTGTTAAAGATCTCTTTTCCATTCCCACTTAGAAATAGCAACTGTTAGCTTATCAACAAGAATTCTATGTCACAGTAGAGTGGTTGGCACTCGTGTTTCATACTCGAGAGGTCCTGCATTCAAATCTCGACCCAGATACCGGTTTCCCTCAGTTCGTCCCAAACAGAGGTGTTAAAAATTTTGCGATTCGCCATTCAGTTACTTTGGTTAGGATTACAGATCGATTCCTAGGCCGTGACCGATGGGTTATTGGTGTGGTAAAGGTATTGTAGATGTAATGTTATTCTGGTTTGGGTACAATATTACACTTGTATTAAGACTACAGTGGTAATAAGAAAGAATATCCAATGCAAATAATCTTTCGAAGTCCCCTACGATCAACCCACAAAACTCTCAAAATTTATATTCTGTTACTGAATCCGAGTAACTTCACTGCGCATTCAAATGACGCCGGCCACGTCAGAATAACATGACTGTATCTAAGCACGTTAAAATGAATTATGGATGAACTGAGTTAACAATGCTGATATAATTTGGTTGCAGACCAATCACTCGTCCAAAACTATGGCAGGTTAGTCATTATAACACGTGTAAGTGGAACGAGCCGCGCGGCGTAACACAAGATCTGACATAAATAAGGT